CTCTCTCTCACACACACACACACACAAACACACACACACTTCAGCCCGCTCCTGTAGAAAGCTAATTCTCTGACACTTTCTTGGGGAGTGAGACATCTATCCCTGGCTGGCCGAATTACTATGATCAACTCTGTTTTGCTTCCCCTCTCGGTCTATGCTGTCTCGCATATGCTGGTTCCGAGAGGCGTTCTCGATGAGGTGGAGAAGATTTGTCATTGTTTTCTATGGAATAAGGATCACAACCATAGGAGCTTACATTATGCTCATTGGGAGGCGCTAACCAGACCTTAGCAACTTGGGGGGTTCGGGTTTCATGCTAGTGGGCGATGGGATGGCCCCTTACGAGATAGAATTGCATGGAATTTCTTTAACAAGCCGCTCAGCCTGCTCAATAGGTGCTTAAGACACAAGTACGGTGATTGGCCTTGGTCCAGGAGCCAACGACGTGGTGATTCTGCTGCTTCGAAGGTGATTTGTTGCGGGACGAATAGCCTGGCCAATTGTATCCGATGGCGGGTTGACAATGGTGCCGATATTGATCTGATCAATCATGTATGGATATACGATCTGGCCATTGCTAGGTGGCCTACATTCTGCAATGTTGATGTCGCGGACGGGAGGTGGGATAGAACCAAGCTAGTGCAGGTCTTTGGGTCCTCCCTTGTGGATGTGATCTGTGATATAAAAATTTGGTCGGAATCTCCTACCGATTCTCTTGAATTTATTAAGTTCCCTCTTGGCACTTCTATTTCTGTTATCTGTTACACGTCTTTGTTCCAAGAGGAGGAGGATCCGGTGTATACGATCCACAAAATTGGCCTACGTCCCCGCGAACGGGTTTTCTGGTGGAGGGCATATAAGGATTTACTGCCAACTTGCTCCTGGCTGTACCGTAGGGGGCTGGGGACGGAACTGCTATGCCAGGTCGGATGTGGGCTTTGGGAGGATCTGGATCACATTTCAGCGCATTGTCGGCAGCTAGGGGATGTTCGTCGGTGCCTGGATGGCTGGGGTTTTCCTACTCCCCAATTCTCCTCCTTCGGAGAACTCCAGGATGCGTTGAGGAGCCGCTGTGTGAGCATGGATTTCTGGGGCCGTGTTTATTGCGGTGCGGTTTTGCGGTGCTGGAATAATAGAAATGCTATTCGGTATGGCAAGGTCAGGAGCACCCCCACGGCCATGGCTGGCAATATTCTGGAATCTCTATCTCACGTTTATTTTTATACATGCCTGGAGCAACGGTTCACCTTTCAATCTTCCGGATTTGTTTCTTCGTCATCATGGTGTGCCCCCCCTTCTGGTTGGCTGAAAATTAACGTTGATGGGGATTTGCATCGATCCAATAGGGGTGGTATTGGTATTGTCATTCGGGACGATCTGGGCCAGCTCATGGTGGCTGCGGGATGGTGTATCACACATTGGGATAGCACCCAGGTGGAGTTATTGGACTTTCAATATATTGAAAAACTGCTTGTGGGGTGGATGCTAGAGGTGAATGGTTTTATCATTGAAGGGGATAATGCCAGTGTCATACAATATATGGAGAAGTTCAAGGTGCGGGAACTTTGGAAGCTTCGGCCCGATGTAGGGGGTGGTCTAGATTGGTTGGGATCCCTCCAAAAGGTCCTTTTTGTTCATGTGAGAAGGGAGATCAACTCGGTAGCTCATTTTTGTGCTCAAAGAGCAATTGAGGATAATTTTGTTTGGAATTTAGATGATAGTGTTAGTACATGTATTCCTCAGGAATTTTGTCCATCCTAGAGGATGATAGTGGTGTTTCCGCCCCTTGTTAGGGGTCTTTTTTTTTTCTTTTTGGGTCCCTTTGTGGTCGTTGTAGTCCTTTTTTGTTTTAGATGAAT